CTTGTGAAGAGTTATCTTTCTTTGATATTTCTTTATAAATCATAAAAATATATATACAGATAGACATACCAATTTAATTCAACTATACATTTCTTTATTTTATGGTGTTACCTATGTACAATAAATGTAATAATAAGGACTTGCTCTATACAAATACCTTTCTCAAACTAAATAATTATTTAGATTATCTTATTACCAAAATCTTCACTTTAAACTATTTTCAGGTTTATATACTATTTAATTTATTGGAAAACTTCATCAGATTTATCAATATCTGAATAAATAGACAGATAACTCATAATGTAACAATTAAAAGTAAAATATCTTGTTTTCCACATTTTTAACTAAATATTATAGAAAACATATCTTGTAGCATAAAACAAGTAAAAACTTACATTTTAGGAATTGTCCAAGGTCTCAAGGTCTTAGGAAATAGATATTTCAACAGCAAAACAAACTAGGTCTTCTCCATTCAAAATCAGAATTTCAGGACTGAATAAAACTATATAAATATCCAACCAATGAAAACCGAGTAGAACCTTAGTAGATGTGTGTGTGGTCATGTAAAAGTGTAACATTGACAAAGGGGTGTATAACTATAGCACTAAATAATCAAGTTATAAAGAAGGAAAAGAATAAACTTTAACGGAAAACTATCATTTATAATATAATACTTTATTTAATTTATATTAATTTATATTTAATATTTATTTTATATCATTAAAAATCACTTAACTTTTATTATTTTAAATAAAAGTACCTCTACTACACATGTACATGTGATATGAAGCCGTTCGCTGGTTTGACATCGTCGGTAACCCAAAAATGATACTTTTCGGTTCTTTCAAAGATCACAAAAACTTTATTTTTCCGATGACAAAATTGTTTACAATACAATGTCACTGTTTTCTCAATATGGAATCTGAATACTGTGTTGACTGATCAATAAAATATTTTTGTTCGATGTACTCTGTCCCCTCCGATCCACATTTTTCAAGATGGTAGGTAGTTGGTTAATTTTCGTGTGGTTTACACTGCTGAAAAATTGATAACTGTCATGAAATCACAGATTTCTTAGCAGTACACATTTGACATGTTTGTTAGCTACACAAGTTTATCGTTATAAAAACTTTCAGTCAAAAAGCATCCTATAGAAATTATACATCTTTACTTTAAAATGAAACAATTTTAGTAAATTTTAAAAGAAAAATAAAAGTTTACAGTGCTGAAAAAATTATTGGCGTGGATAAGTATGATTGCTTCTCATCGTGTGAAACAGTTACCAATTGGCCATACCTGACCTCCTTTATAATTTCATTCAAGGATAATTGTGTGGTCACTCATTAATAGCCCCCAAACTTTAAAAAAATTGAGTACAAAACTCTCTCAAGGAGACACAATTTGGTGAGTGATTTTTACATGCATTGTATTCAGAAGAGTTCAAAGTTTAATGTTTCCACTGCAACAAGGAGCAACTATTTGCACATGCTGAAAAAATAAATCATTTGAGAAAAAATTGTGATAAAATAGCTTAATTAAGCTATTCTGAATAGCTTAATAAAGCTATATAGCTAAATCAAGCTATATACCTTAATCAAGACTTTGTGCCGGACCTGTCAGAGTACATCAAACAAATCAATTTTTGTATTGTGGGCCGGAACATCCAAACCGTGTTTTGCGATGATGGATTCCAATAAGTTTGACTTATTTTTGTGTTGTTTTTGAAGTGGCATGGTAAGTTTTCTTGACCACCTCTAAGTACATTCAAAGAAAAATGAAACATGACATAATTAACACAAACACATAAATTTTTTTTAGCACGTGTAGTGTGCTGGTACCATTTAGGCTTCAGAACTTTCATCTATGAAGACCCACTTGCTAATCCCACCAATGGCCACCATGCACAGAAAAGACCATGATGTGGAGGACATATGTGCTTAGTTATTAGTAAGTCAATTTTATTGCAGTCAAAATTCCTCATTGCCACTGGACGGCTATTAGTCAACACTCCCAGGTATATGAGAAGCCGGACTGGTGCAGTGGTTAGAGCCTCTGCCCTATAGTCATGAGGTAAGGAGTTGATCCTTACATCGCATAATTGAATCTTACTATGAGACATGGAGACCTGTTTTTCTGATGAGACACTATAAAAATATCTTATATTATACTTATAACCCAATTAAGGTCCCTTGTCGCAGTAGGTGCTGGCATGAAAAAGATCCCTCACAGCTCAATAGCTGTAAGTGCTGAGTATAGAACAAAATTTGCATCTGTCCACCGACAAGTGGTGGTGTCTCCATCTGAGAGAGAAATTCTCGAGAGAGACATTTAATAACATACAAACAAGCCCATATATATAAACACCTTGTCCCGGGGATTTTTCTCTGAAGTAACAGTTTTCAGTCCAACATGCCCTTTCTCTTAACAACCCTGACAACAGAAACTAGAAAAGGATACTTCATGAATTTGATAAAATAATGGTTAATTATGCTATTTTTTAAAAATTTTAATTGATTAACCTTGATTGTTTAGTATAAAGCCTTCAATATTTCAGTCACTTCCCCAAACCATATAACTACAAGTATGACAAAATATGACATTCATAAAATAATATATATATGATATGCTTTATAAAGACTTTTTAACAATGTTATATCAATTTGCAAATTGTAGATTTCTGTATAAACTGAATTGTCTGATTAAAACTACATATTCGATTAGAAAAGCTTTTTCAAAACTTTTTTTTTGTTACAGAAGTTGGGACAGAATACATTCAGAAACTGATCATGCCTTGGTCAAATCAAAGGAGTCTTTCAGAGAGATGGCAGAGAGTACATTCAACATGAAGATGATGTGCACATAATGTAATATGGAATCTAAAGTTAGAGATAAAAACCTTCAAACTTACTAGCAAATAAGCCTATCTGCTTGTTAATTATTCTTTGCCGAACAATTCACTTTTAGGAATGCTCTTTATTTCTATCAATGATGCAAGTGGTTATTCAAGATCATGTCATGTGATATAAGGAATTCTGACTTTTGACAGCATAAGACAAGGGTTTGTAAGAAGAGTAGCAAATACTAAAGAAATCATTGGATACTGAAATTCAGTCATTGTATGCCACATAAACTGGATGAGTGAAAGATTGTAGCTGAAGTTCTGTGCTTGTCCATCTTTGCTGTTTTTTCATATGCTTATAAAATGACAAAAGTTGTTTTAACAAGTGACCCAGTAAAGAGTTGAAAATGTAAAATAATTCTTGTAAGAAAAGAAAAATTGTAAATGTTTTCTTATACAATGTATTCTAGATGAAAAAGAATGTGTTTGACTAAGTTTTTGAAAATGACAATATAAATTCTCTTTTGTGTAATTAAAAAATGATAATGGTTGCAATACATGTTTACCTTAATATGATTTTAATAGTATTTATCACTAAGATTGAATTACTTGAGAACATATTTTACAAATTTTGTTCCAGTTTACTTAAGTCAGAGATATATTTTTTGAATGACAACCAAGATTTGAAAAAAAAGAAAAAAAACAAAGTAATTGAAACAAAACTATTCACTTTTGTGATATCTCTGTTGATTTTATTGTTTACAATTTTATGTGTCAGTTATTGGACAATATGTCCATAATAATTGCAGCATTTCAAATTTGATGTATACATACAATTTAAGGCAGATATCTGTACTGATATGACCTTGACCCACAAAGAACAGAAATTTCAGGGTCAATACTTAAGACAATTATTTGTTGGATGTTTTATAAATTATTTTTGACCTTATATCTTACAAATGATACCATGGAAAACTGTCTAGAATAAGAAGTAAGAAACCTATAAAGCCAAAAAATTGAATATTGTTGTTGCTTAGCAACCATTTAAAGGTCATTTAACACAAATTTGAACAAAAATAATATGTGGATATTGCAATACAGTATGATGCCTTCTAAAGAGTATATTTAGAATTTTCTTCTTTAGCATCCATTGTTACAAATTTTAGCAAGAAAGATGAAAATTTTGGGAAAAATTCAAAATTCTAAAATTATGCACTTATTTGACCTTTGACCTCCAAAAAAAATGAATCTGATGAGGTCAAACTTTCAGACAATTATCTTATGTATATTATTTCAGTATCATTACCCTACATTTGACTTTACAATGTAATGGAATGCATAAATGTGTGTGGGATGAGCAAAAACAAGAAATACTGCCTGAAAATTGAAAAATACTCCGTTGCTTAGCAACCTCTTTAAAGTCATTATTTGCAGAATTGAAAAAAAAGTTTATGTGATTAATGTCGTACAGAATAATGCCCTTTTGTGGGTTTATTCTGAATTTCCTATTTCAAAGTGTATCACTGTTAATTTTTAACTTGAAAATTAAAATGTGTCAAAAATGCAATAAAATTCTGCACTTATTTGACCTTTGACCTTAATTTCCACTAGCAAGGTCAGTCGTGAGGTACCTACATAGTTATGAAATATCATCTCCAGAAAATTCCCTTCAAAATGGTATACATTATATCTAGATTACTCTTTGAATAAAAAAAGTTATAAATTGATTTATAAGGATATGTCAAAAGGTTTGCAAAAACGCTGAAAATGTGCCGGTAGAGAAAGGGTTAAAAGAAAAATTGCAGTATTTTTTCCAGTTTTTTAAATTTTCGTTGAACTAAAAATCCATGAGGGTCACACTCAACGCTTCAAGAACAGATGTAATTGGAGTGGCAATAGATAAACCCCCACCACCACCAACAATCATACCTATACATTTCAAATCATTGAGATCGCTATACTGAAATACTAGAGCCCCGGAATCCCCCTTTTCAGAAAAGGGCACATTTTGTATTCCACGTATGACAAGTTGTGACATATAAGTGGTTGAAACGCGTTTTGATCATCGGAGAGTGCGATATTTCGGTATCTGGCAAATATTTCCCCTTCTACCAATTTTCCAAGGGTTAATCCTGATACCATTCCACATTTCAAGACTCCTTCATTCGAATGATCTTGTGATTCTTCGAGGCCCAGAACGTATTTTACCACAACAAAACTGTTGGAAGTAAACTTCTAGAGAATCCTACAAAAATTGGAATATTTGCTATTATGATGAAAAAATGGTATAATAACAAAGAAGGCCCTGATATAAAAATAATTTTACAAATATCTTACACAGGAGTACAATTATACAAGAGGCCCACGGGCCTTATAGGTCACCTGAGTATCATGTAACAACTTTCTAGCGATTGTATTTGGTTCGTGTTTTAATCCAAAAGCTATGAAATTCACAAATTTTTAAAGAGGCACCATTGCTTATCAAAGGGCAGATTTCAAAGCATTAATTTATTTTTAGTCAAAGTACCCCCCTGGTACCCCTGACCCAGCGGCACTGAAATTATCTATTTTGAAAGAGGACCCTTTTTTTCATTATACGGCCAGCATTTTTTTATGCTTAGGCTTAGTTATGAACATAAGAATAAAAAGTCCCGAAGGAGAAGAAAATAAATTTTTTTTTAATAAATCAATTATTATCATTTGTACATTCTTTTTTATGCTATCCTAATAGGCTCCTTACCACTGTACACACAATGCTTACAAATAGGAAAGTAGAACATTTAATTGCTTATTTCATCTGCCAGTTTGGGTCAAGCGACGCTCGTAACTGCGAGCTCTAATGACAACGCCTGGGTGAAGAGAAAATTCGGACTACTGCACATTCATTCTTTAGAATTTTTTGCCGCAGTAATTATGACCCATAATGCATCACTTAGCAAAGTTGCGCTCTCGCGAGAATGACGGCAAATGTTCAACAAAAAGTTAATCGCCTTGATTGAATGGATACATATTGAAGATAAATTGTAAACGTAACTTTTTTCATCAACTTTCAGCACTGTTCAGTTTTTACTTGGTATTCTGTAACTTACATATGACGTCATGTGACGTCAGAGTCTAGACGCACCAAATGTCACGTGCGGTGTGACGAGCCCGATCTAAATTAAAACAATAGAGGAGTTTGCGCTCGCTCTAACGGCCGCACCATCAACATATTATAAATTTTGTGATGTTGATCAAAATATATTTTAAAAAATCAAATCTTTAAAAGTCTTTCAACATATCTTCATTTTTTAATACGTGTAGACATTGTTCTAAAATTTTCTTGATGCATAAAATTATAATTCCTATCATAAAACAGACAGGGAGTATTGGGAGTAGGGTGAATTTTCTTCAATTAAATGTGATATAATTTTTCTGGCTGATACAAATGATACTACATGTATATGCCTGTATATATTTGTATATTCTTGCCTTTTAATAGTTCATTTTTTTTCTTCAGGTTATTGTTTATTTCTTCCTCCAATGGACTTAACTTCTCCCATAGTTTTATTCATTACATCTGATGCATAAGCAACCTTTCTCTGAAGAATGATACTGTAAGCTACAACAGAGACCTAAACAATGTCGCTGGCAATATGCAATAGCTATCACGGGCAGTTTAAAACCTGGGGAGGAAAATAATTTACAGACAGATACTTTTGAAACGAATACATAATTATCTCACCAGCATGTCATTGTGCTACGTCAAGTCGTCAGCATTTTATTTGTCCTTTGAACGGGTGAAACGTTTTGAATGGCACTCTTATCGATGAATTTTACACTAAACCAAGCTATCTTCTCAGATCTAGCTTTATTTACCCGCCGTTTCATCGTAAAACCGAAAGTGCGAGTTCGTAGATTTGAAATCTTGATCCCGACTTAAATTTGACATCGGAAAGAATTTTTTAAAATCTTTTTCTGAAAATTCAAAACCTTGAGCGGAGGGTTTGTAAAACTGAAAAAAAAATAAATCCTGGCCTTAAATACGTAATTAGATCATTAGCACATTAACCAGGAGCAAAGGATAAGATGTTCACAGAATTCATGCATTTCACTATATAATCATTGGAGCCACATCCTAAAACAAGAACCCCTGACCCTGGGGCCATAAACTTCACAATTTTGGTAGAGGCACTATTGCTCGTCATAACTATGTACTTAGTTAGTTTATTTAGTACCCAGGAGCAGAGAAGAAGACTTTCAAAGAAATAATGCATTTTCACTACCTACTTATTTAGTCCCACCCTAGCACTAGAACCCCTGACCCCAGGGCCATGAATTTCACAATTTTGGTAGAGGACTCATTGCTGATTGAAGATTTTTAAAGATTGCGATAATTTTAGTGGTTTTGGCCCCACCTCTCAGGCCCTAGGGGGGCAGGGACCCTGAAATTCACAAGTTTTTTCCCCTTCACCCACAAAAAGCTGTATACAAAATTTGGTTAAAATTGGTTTCGTGGTTTCAGAGAAGAAGCTGAAAATGTTCAAATGTTATCACACAACGGACGCCAACGGACAAGCACGGATGGCAATAAGTCACCTGAGTGACTCAGGTGACCTAATAAGAGAGAAATATGATTAAACCAAATCAAGTAAGAATGAAAACTACAGACATGTAGCATAGTAGTACAGGACTTGATTTCTTTTTACTAATTAAGTCACCTTTGCGCCTTAAAATTTTTATTGTCGCCAAATATTAAATTAACGTATTTATTGTAATAATTCTAATAACAGGCTAAAATTTCTAATTCTAAGCCATATTTTAGAGATCATATAGAGGCTTGTTATAACCTGGAGAAGCTTCACAAGCAGCACACTTGCGCTTGCTGTTTAAGGCTTTTTTTTTATTTCTGAGCAATGAAGGGTTGTTCAGGATAACTCTACATTAGAAAAGTGTGTATATTCTTCATAATTTTTCGTGAGGTGAGAAAAAAATGTTTTTTTTTCTTATTGTGGATATTTGAAAGAATTCTTGAACCATCTATTTTAATCTTTTCATTAATTTCACACCAGAAGTATCTAACTATTATAAAAATTCATTAAGTGACATTACATACATGTATTAAACAATCAGTTATATACACACAAAAACTGAAAAAAAGAAAAATGAAACGATTGTGATAAAATAATACCGAGTCTTTTCAATCTTGCCGTCGTCAGATCTGCGAGTAATGCTTTCTTTGGAATCCGATTTGTCAATTTGACAACTGCTGCATCAACACTAACTCCGTCTACAATGGCAGAGGAAGGAAAAACTGACTTAAAAACATTACCACATCTTTGTGACCCTTCGTACCATACGGATGGCTGAACAACAGGATATTGCAAATTAGATGCATTTCTCAACATTTCATCTACCGAATGCAAAACATGGGCACATGTTATGAATCCAATTTCACCATCATTCAACTGGACGAATCCACCAAGTGTTCCATGTCCATCTCCGCCTGTCAATTTAGAATTATATACATTTAGATACTTCAATAACAAAATTTCATGCAAAATGGTGCATCTAAAATTGATGTTACATTAATCTTTTTATATATCATTCATTTCATCCCAACTTTAAAAAACAATACAATGATTTTGCTACAATTTATTATGTACTGATTCAAAGGGGATATACTATATTAAATCACATTCCATCCCATCGTTAACCCCTTCCCCGCAGTCACGCATTTTAACGCATATACCATTTCGAATTTCTAACGCAAAATCACGCATATACTGTATCCCGGCAATCAAGAATTTTATAACGTTCATTTAATCTTAAATTCAAATATTTCGTTCTTATATTATTTATGCTAAACATTTGAGAAACGTGTACCACGCTATAAGGTGCTTGTATGGAAATGGTAAGTTTCTTTTTCAATGACGTGAACATTAAGTGTATGTTGCATAACAGTTCAGTAACAAGTAAATCGGCATCCATATAAAGAACCCGCCAATTCTGCACTCAAAGGAACGAATGGCAGAGGTCAGCGGCTAGGATAAGGCTATCCGAAAAATATCAAACGGTTCAAACTGCAGTAACTCTTCCAAACAACCTTAATATGTCGCCCGTTATGCAAATTATCCCATGTTTCCCACTATTGTTGATACCCTGGCATACTCTCAAAACTAAACAGTGATTCCTTAAATAATAGCGAAAAACTGAAGGTCAAACGCTCCCCTTATCGCCCGTAAACTGAGTAAAATTTATTAATCAGGTTTATTTTTGACATGTACAAGTGATTAACTAGGAAAAATGGAAGATATTCTGTGTGAATCCACAGAAGAAGTAAGTCCTCTAACTGAAGTTTACTGGGGGATTGTATGTAGTTAATCCATTTTTGTATAAACTGCCATAACTCAAAAATAAACCTTTTTATGTTGGTTAGTTAAATTTCTCGTCAAATATTTTCTTAAGAAATAAAAATCACACTTGCCCCTAGCTAACTTTATATGTACCAGAGATCGTGATGAATTGATCTATGTATCAAACTTTTCACAATAATTTTGTTTTGCACTTGTGCAGATGCGATTTTTGTGCAAAGTTTAAGAAAATCATAAATGTCCGTCACGTGATGCTTTATTAAAATACCCGATTAAACTCATCACAAGTTGACTGCAAATTGAAACAAGGATAACGTATTGAAATTAAAATAAAAAGGTATATTTTCGATACATTTTAAGCCTTGGGACAGCCTTATCATAACTGCGTGATCTTTAATTACCTTAATTGACTGCATACAGACGCCCAAGGAACCTAAAGGACATGGAAGTAAGAACCAGATTGGCCATTCCATTAGCTAACTGGGGTTTTAAAACTTTTTCTGAAAGAAGATGTCCTCTCTGTAAGCACAGTTCTGACACAGCTTTAACAGCCCCGTTACAGGCCGCAGCTACAAAGTACTAGGGAATTTGTCCTGTCATACTGACAACTGCATTTATCACATCAATTGCAAAGTTTGCACCAAACAGTAATTTGGGAAAAACAGGAGATCTCCGAAGAAGAGTTAATAATCAGCGTTTGACCATTAGGACTAAAAAACTGAATGAACCCGAAGGAAAATATTTCAACATTGAAGGTCAAAAATTGAAGGAAATGGCAGTTATTGACCACAATTCAAAATGGACAAAAGCTCAGCGAAAAAGCAAGGAAAAGTTCTGGATGCACAGACTGAAATCATTCCTCCTTAATATTATTTACAAACTACACACTTTGCCAGGATGAACTTGAACTATACTAAATCCCAGATTGTTTCAAACAATTTCATTCTCTCTATATAGTGAAAACGTTACCGTTTATTGGCAAAAAAAAAAGTGAGGCTAAAAACAGCATGTATATGAACGGTGGAAAATGGAATAAAAGACGTACACCAAACCTGTTGGTCTTCATGTAGGCTGTGCCAGGATAGGTAAGCGAGGTGAAAGTTTGTTGCAGCTCTTCACATCACAGTGTGTAAAGGTCGCTGAGCATGATTACAAATTTTAAAAGAGTTGAAAGAAAATGTTTCCATCCATATTTACAAACCTACAAAGTTGTGTACAAATGAGCGATACAAAGGAAAAGAATATGATTTTAAATTGTCATGCAGATGCAGGCTGGTTATTTATCCGTTGCGACTGGTACAGTGTAAGTAGACCTTTCCAAAAAATCTCCAAATGAACAAGTTTTCCCCTATCAATCAACGGATATATTGCAAAAATATAAGAGAAAGAAGAGAAATATTGACTCTTACCACTTTCACGTGATATGCTTGCGCCCATTCTTAGGGGATCAAGCTGATCTTTTGAGTTTGCACAAATATCATAGTTGCCATGCAAATGAAAACAACCCTCCCTTATATCCGTAGCGAATCCATCTAATTCTGTAGGAAATTCTTCTTCACCGACGGGAACAACGCCTTTATAGGAACAATATATGGCTATACAAGGTTCAGAAACAGCCTTTTTCTTCTTTGCTTTGTTCCGCTTTATTCGAAATCCCGATGCACGGATCATTTCAAGGTTTGAGTGTTTTTTCATTATTGAATCTGCATTTTCTTTCAGGTACTTGGTGATTTCTTTTATCTTTTCATGACCATAAACTTCATTTTCATCCGTTTCATCCGACACAGTATTTTCCTTCCAAAGTTTATAAACGACAGCAAATTTTTCTCCATCGCATTGGTATTTTTCATTTTCAATAGCTGTCTCACTCTCAATAACGGAAACAATAACTCTTGTCCCTTTTGTCAAATTTTCTGTACTTGAGCAGACATCTCCCATGTATAAATGTCTAATGTTTATTGCTCCATGCTTCTGATGAAACCACTCTTCAAATTTTTGCAAGATGTCTTTTTTTGAAATATCTAAGTACAATTAAGGACAGATAATACAAGAAATTAATGTATGCTTGCATCGATATCAATTTTTATAAGCCTTCTTTGATCATGTTAAAAATCATAATTTTGTTATTAATATTTACAATATTTCTACAATTTACCTTAACAATTTTGTTAAACTATGGATGAAAAAGAAATTTATGCTATTGAGGTTTTTTTTTCAGTTTATTCTATTAAACATACAATGTACCTTAAGATATTTATGATTGATCTTTAGGATTGATCGAAGTTTAAACGAACGAACAATGGAAGGGAAGGGACTAATACTGTGTCTTCTAGAGAAAGATCATTTTTGCTACATGGTCATATGTTCAGTTATATATAAAAAATATATAAGTATAATCTCAATACCTTTTATACCTTTTTCTTGCTTGCGTCTTTTATTTGGTAGCATATCTCCTGAGCCATTACAAGGTCGTTTTCTGCTTACAGAAGCCATTTTATCCTAATGATTTTAGTTATTCTTTATAGCTGAAAAAAATGTCAACAAATTGAAATTAGAAAAGTACAAGAAGTAGTATCCCTTTTGAAAATCACATAAAAAAAAAACATTAATGAAGATGACGACGAAGTCGTGAGAAATATGTGGGTAAATTTAAGACAGATTGTTGAATCTTGAAATGATTTTAGAAGAAAATACATATTTTCAACATTTTCAATATGAAGACCACCTTTAACCAAAATTATCTAAATGTATTGATGTACAGTCATATCATAATAAAATTATTTAGAAGTTGTTTTTCTGGTTAAGGGTGGTTTGTTGCTACAGTTTGTCATTCTTTAGGGGGTTTCTCAGTATTTACTACATGTATATTCTCCATATAAACTGAACGATTTTTATATCTATCATATGAGGGAATGTAAATATTGCAAATTATTTTTGTGTGATTTGCTTTAAGATATGTAAAAAGTAACATTGTATGACAAAGTTTTTGTTAAACGATGTATTAAAACAATTACTACTAGAGGAGGCGAAAGTTACTATCAAATGCGCTATGGCTCTTAAGAGCATGTCTACGAGAAAACCATGCAAGAGGTTATGGGAGCAAGGTTCTCGGATCAACCTCATATTTTGTGTGTAAATTTCTTCTATAGTATGAAATATTTTGCCACAAAATTTTTTCAGTGTGGTCTCACTTAAGGGGTTAAATCGACACTGTTACTAAAAATAGAATTCTTGGTCCTTACGCAGGGTGAAAACAGGAATTTTAGAGGATTTTATATTTAAAAATTCAGCATTTTACTTGGTAATGATAAAAAATATCCATATATGGTTGAAAGTAACAAGATACACTTGTTTCAGAAAATTTTTCATAATCACAAACTGTGCTCCCGTTTAAGTGCAAAAAGGTCACAAATCTGGCATATATCCAGATTTTTGAAAACTGGTGAAAATATTCACTTTTCAAAAACCTATAACTCAGAAAGTGACGCTTAGAATCAACTCAATCTCATACCAATTATTAGACAACATGTCTGTCTACATTATATAAAAAATCTGTCTTTGGACTCTCAAATATTTTGCTGTACTTTTTACTTAAAGTTGGACATTTTTTTGTGAATTTTCAAATTTTCTCATCCCTGAACTTCAGCAAGGAATTATTTTGCTGATTTAAACATTTTCAAAAATTAAATTTTGCTGTTGAAAAATACCAGTATATTGTACATTTTTTGTTTTCAATCAATAATTAATTCTTCGGGGGTTAAATGGGGTTAATTGGGGGGGGGGGGGGGGGTTACCAGAATTGTATTCATTTACATTTTCTTTAAGCAGGGCAATATTCACATACTGCTTAGTACCTGTTTGTCAATCAGTAGACCAAGTGTGTTCTCTCTTATCTTAAAAAAACATTTGCTTAATAGATAAATAAACATAGTACACTGGTACCTACTAATAAGTAGATGGCCCCTTTTAATTTGGAGCTTGAAAGGTCAAAAGTCAAGGGTTATAATTCTCGATATACCAGTATATAGATTTTAATCATTCAAAATCTTGCGGACCCATTGCTTGACAGATATCAAATTTAGTACACTGGTTTCTTGAAAAGTAGAGGACCCCTTTAGATTTTGAGGTCACAATGTCAAAGGTCAAGGGTCAAACAGAACAAAAAGGAATATCAGAGCCATTTTCTTGACAGACATATTGTCATGGCAACAAACTCAAAATGAATGAACATGAAGTTTTAAAAATCAACAAATTAAAACATTTATAATTTTTAATTTCATTGCAGATTAAAATTTGAATATTACTCAATAACTTAGTACATTCAACAACAAAAAAATTACAATGCTTGACTGCTTCCTGATATTTTATATTCACTTCCAAAATTATAATGACCTTGAAATTTTGTATGCTTGAAAAAAATCTACTTGCTTAAGTATACATCATGGTTCTAAATTAAGGTAAGATTTAAAATAAAAAATCACAGTTTCCCCAAATCATATTCTGAATTATTTGCTATACCTGTATACAGGAAATTACATGTAGTCTTTATAATAGTGTTATATTTGGTAAGACAAAGCACTGTTAACATTGATCTTTGATCTTTTCTAACATAACAAACACTTAAAATTTACTCTGAATTTTTGTGTATTCCTGCAAGTTAAACCTGATACATATTAAATATCAAGATGTTAACAATGTTTAAGTACATGTACCAATAAAATTGTATAAGTTAACATATATGAAAAACCCTGAAATTTTGGCTACTATACAAGCTTCTTCAATCATAAACTGTCTTTTTTTCTTGATGTTTGGAACACCATTTAGGTTGATCTTGAGGTCTCAAGCTTTCAAAATCTATAACGTGTATCCAATCTATTCTGTTCAGTATGACCCCATTTTCTTCCTATGTAGCATCCAATAACTTCTGGAGAAAATTTAACAAGCATTGAAATTTCCACTTCTGGCTTAAAGAACAACTGGACTGTCTCCAAATACACAAAAGTAGTACTCAAGGCATGTACCTGTGAAAAAGGACAGTTTTCAAATTAAAATTGAAATAAACCATACTAGACATATTCTAAGATTTTTAAAATAAATGTCATGTTTATGATAATGCTACATTTATATTTATCAATTGAAGAAAATGTCATCAAATGACTTGGGTAAGCTTCTAACTATCTTTGAAGAAAACAAGAGCTTTATATATCCTTGAAGTAAAGTAACAGAGTAGGGAAAAATGCATGTGGCAAATCAACAGACAGACAAGGCAATTCCTATCCATGTACAATAGTATAAAGTTATGAAATGGGTATGAGGGAAATAGTAAATTTATGATTCCCCGAGGGAGGAAACTATTTCCCGAAGGAAATAGTTCTCTGCCAAGGGGAACTTTAAATTTGCTATTTCCCAAGTTCCCATTCCATAACTTTTTATTATACCAGAACAATGATAAGCGATTTAAATTTTTTTAACCAGATATTCCGACATTTTAAAAAAAACTGTAGAGGCATAATTACAAATGCATGCGGTTTAACACATTGTATGATAAGTGAAGCATCGTGTCCTTAAACAAATATTTACATTCGCTGTGTTTTTCTAGTAAGCATACTGTGAAATTGATTTGAAAAACATTTTCGTGTATACTCACGTGTAGAAATATACCCGGTACATGGAGAAACGTGCGTTAACGTGACGTCACAATGAGACTGCAGCGACGTTTGTAAAATTGCAACAATATAGGACAGGGAGAAATTCAAATATAAAGTATATTTCAGTTGCTTCCAAACATGTAAAATGTAAATATAAGGAATGTTATTATTGGTGTGAGAATCACAAAGACTTGCACGTAGGCATATTTTTCATGAAGCGCTAGCGCGCTTCATGAAATATGCCTACGTGACAAGTCTGTGTGATTCACACACCAATAACTCACACAAAACTTAAAAATATTCCTTAATTAAATTATTTTTAAAAAGTATTTTCACTGACATTTTGAAAAATTATCGTTGTTTTCATTTTGGTTGAATTCAAGTATGATTTTGACATCGCACGTCAAAATGTTTTGACATCATAGCTACATGTACATTGCTAATAAAATGACGTCACGGACTCGAGATTCCTTGAATGCTCCACCCACTGAACACTTTGATTGGTTAAAATTACTAATAAATATTCATGAAGGAGTAGTCCCAGGGAGTAGCTCTGATTTTCCAGGGAGTAGTCCTCAGATGAGGGCAATAGTCACTTCTCGGGGAAATAGAGATTTTTTTATGGTATTAATTTATACAAAGTAATTACAGTAGAGGTATTATAATATAACATATCTTTACCATTTTCTCAGCAGTGGTAAGTAATTGGTAATGCTAATGCTGCATCTGCATTGTCTCTCCTCTTCTTATCACAAAGCTACATTGGAAACCCCATGTAGTAATTCTTTATAGCTCCACAGCTGAAAATCCCATTGTAAAGCCCAGCCCTAACCAGGGAAATGAATTTGAATAATCTGAAATTGCACGAGAAATATAAGAATGAAAGGAAATATTCTTTACAAAGTATAATTTCCCAGACTTATATTCATAATATTAGTTATGTTTTAAACACAAACCTGTCAAGGAACACATGGTGACCTTTAATTTGAAAAGTTTGCACAAGTATTTGACAACTCTTTTTCCTTTAATCATAATTGAAAAGCCGAAAATCATAACTGTAGCCATCTTCATAACATTTCATAAATATCTGAAAAATGATATTCTTTATAATCATGCAGCCCACATATGAGGCAATAATGGTGATTTAATTGACAGTGAAGACCCACCTATCCAATTCTTAATGTACCCTATTAGTAAACAATCTTTGAAAACCCTGGACCTATTCAACTTTCATTCCCTCTTCATCACCCCACAAAGGCTACTTATGCTATTTATAATTCTGCAGATGTGAATATTTTGCAATATTCTTGAATTTATACAGATATTTTATTTGCTATATGTACAAGTACCAACCTTCAAATTTCTCTTGACAGGTTTGCTAGGTATATATTCAGGTCCAGTACAATCACTAGATTTAGCTACGTAGGTATTTTTATAGAAATAAATTACTTTGGTAGCTAAATAAAGCTACTTCAGGTAGGTAAATAAAGCTAACTAAGTAGGTAAATCAAGCTACGTAGCTAATTCTAGTGATTGTACCAGACCTGGTAGTGTCTTGTAAAAAATCTTCTCTTGTCCATAATCAAGTTCCCATCAAAATTGTTTATTTATTTATTTTTTACATATCAGCAAGCCTTTTTATAAGATACATAGTATTACATGTATAAACCAAGATCCACCTACCTGTTTCTTCTTCAAATTCAAACATTGTTGATTCGGTATCATCAATAATGACATCATCACTACATCCGTCTTGCTTCCAAATGAATGTTTGCTGTCAGAATCATATTCATCAAAATCAGAGCCAGAATCTGAAGACTCGTTTACAATTCACGCGTACTGAGT